AAAAAGCCTCTAAAAGGCACAAAAAACCTCCTACTGTTGCAGGACCATCCTGCGACCTGATGGACAGGGCAGTGGGGATGTTCTCGACAGAACCGGGTGTTCTGACTTACCTCATCATGGGCAAGCATCCAACGGCACGACTCATCTGGTGATGATCTCGTTCTTGAAATGGGTACCACAGTCAAACATCCAGGTATTCAACACACCGAAAAGACAAATTATTCCATCAGAGCAGTGACAGTTTCAACAGCCGTTGCCGTAGCACTCGGATGGAGACGGACAACCCACTCATGTCATTCTTGATCACCAGGACATACTTATGTCCTGTCCTGGAGTCCGGGAGACTTAACCAGTCGAAGTGAATGAGCTCGTTGGGCTTGGTTGCGTGTAACGCCTCACCCCAGGGACGTGGCACTATCTCACCGTCCACCATCATACAGTGCAAGCAAACCTTCACAAAGGTCTGCATGTTTCCTCTCAGGTCCTTCCAGTCCAAAATCTCCGAGATGGACGCCATCGTAGCTTCTTCACACCGGCGTCCCGCGATACCAGCATGAGCCACAACACACAGGCGCATCTGCATGTCCAGAGCGCCGTCGGGGATCCAGACATTTCCCGGAGTCGGTCAGGAAACATTTACGCTCCGGACTCCAGGAGGCCCAAAAAGCACAGTCCGGATGGTCACTATGTGTAAAGATGACACCAGGACCAGCTTCTTCATCCTGGCGCTACTGGACCCGACAGGTGGGCTACCCCAGCCACTCAGCAGGTCAGCTCAGAGGTTGACCTCGCCTGCAACGCATTTCACCACACGGGAAGGTGACAGGGTTAGCGCCCAGCGCTGCAGCTTGTGAGCCTGGTACTTGGCCATGTTCGATTTGTATCCCAGAGGATTGAACATGTAGAGCATGTTATGGTGGTCCGTAAATAATCTGAAGCCTCTTGGGCGCACCAGGAGGTACTCCTGGTGATACAGGACTCCACTACCGAAAACGATTCCCCCTCCACGATAGGCCAGCGTTCACTGGAACCCCGGAAGGCACCACTCAGGAACGCCAGGGGCTCATGGCGCAGCTCCGACGCCTGCAGGGCTAGGTCATCCACTGGCACTTGAGTTGCTATAGCTCCCCAGAACCACTCACAGGAATCCGTGTACAACCTCACCATCTTGTCCTGGAACGGGTGGGATAACGGAACCATCCGCTTCAGGACTTCTTTCACTCGGTTACTCCAGGTGGTCAGAACACCAACCTGTCGAGGAAAGGGGCACTCGGGTCAGGGCTGTGTTCTTCCTGGAGTCTGTCGCCTCGGCCGCGATATTCAGGAACTTCGTCAACGGTGCTACCAACTCTGCATATTGAGGGATGTTGGCGTGCTTCCAGTTCGTCGCACACAGGAATTGCTGCAGGTCCGCAACAGTCTGGGGCGGCTCCAGGTCACATAGACCTTGTATGCGTATAGGGTCATGGACTACACCATTAGATCTCCTTACCACACCAGATCGTCTGGGTAGTATAGAACACACACTTCTCGGGGTGCAGCTTTAGGCCATACTCCTGGCAGATCTTCAGCATTTTCCGGAGCAGCTGGAGCAGGTCATTGATCGTCCTGGCGTACCCCAGGAGGACATCCAGCCATCCCAGGAGAGCATGAATCATGAGTTCGCTAAACAGTTCGTCAACAACACCCTGACAGTAGGCCAATGCGTCAGTCTGACCCATCAATACCCGAGTAGGTGGACTACGCCAAGAGGGGTGATGAACGAAAAGTACTCCTGGCAGTCCGGGTGCAGCGGCAACTGCCAATAACCTTCTTATTCTTTCAACCAGGGAGAAGTAGCCATCGCGACTTCCTGGTTGGGCATAGGCCATGGCATTGGCTCGGTAGCATTGATCGGACGCAAGTCAATCGTCATCCGAAGGTCCCCAGGATCCTTCTTCGGCACAATCCTGGGCGCAGCTGCCCAACGCGACCGTGTGTTGCGATACACTATCCCAGCTTTTTCCAGCTCGTGAACATGCTTCTTCTGGAACGCCTGATGGGTTGGCGGGTAACGACGAAGGCCATACTTCACCGGGCCGGCCTCAGCCTTCAGGGGCACCTTCAATGGCGCAACTTTTACCGGTGGTCCCGGCCAAATCTCACCCAGAACACATCCTGGAACTCTGGGGGAGTTCCAGGTCCGAAGGAGTTGCACCTCGCCTTCTTTCATGCCTTGGTCAATTGCATCGGCCACCTTGGACTCCAGGTTAGCACGAATTTCATCATCCTGGTCAGCCTGGGGTGTTCCCACCTCCGGAGTCACACAGCGTATCCTCTTGTCATCATCAATGTCCTCCGGGTGTTCCACCATGCGGAGAGTGCGATGCATAGCCACTCCAGGAGTCGTCACAGACTGGTCGGCAAAGTCCCACACCGCCAGCTGGCCACGAGAGTTCTCCAGGAGAGTATTGTCGCTGTACCCATGCTTCTTCATCACGGGCAGACCAAGCCTCAGGTCCACGCCAGGCTAAGCCTCGTCAGCCCCACCCAGAGACCACGCAGCACCAGCGGCCCTCAGCCTGTATTGAACTCCAGGGTACCCAGGCGGACTTGCTTCGCCACAGTAAGCGGCTGGCTGCCTGTCCCGTAGGACCGGAGCTCTGTAGGGTCAATCTCACTCATCTCCGGACTCACATCAGCAGCAAGCAGGGCTGCCACGAGCCTCCCGGAGATTACCAATAGGTCAGCTCCTGAGTCCATGAAAGGCGACTGGGCGAGGACGGGAACAACACCTTCCACCTTGGCGGCCAGCCTCTACCGGCCAACTTCGTTGCCTTTGATTGCTGTCATGGGACGACCTGGAGTCTTGGAGTTCTGCCGCATTAAACGAGCATGTGTAATAGGCAGCTTCTGGACTTTCTCATCAGTAATCCCAGGACAGCCCCGGATCCTGTGGCTCGGTGATTGACACTTCAGACAATCCTTACTAGGTTTACGTTCGGTTTGGCCTGGGCCGGTGGCGTTGGAGCCCAGGGTGGAGCCTTCTGGACCGGCAGCCCAGGAGGCGATTTCACTGGCCACCCCGATCCAGGCGGGGTCTTGAATGGTTCACCTTTACCGGCGGCTTCGCTTTTTCCTCATATCCCACGAACAGCACATGTCTGATATCACGCTCCCGCAACCAGCGCACGAAACGGTACACATCATTCTTCAAAGGCTTGTTCTTGTTCCTGGTCAGTGCCATCTGCTCGGATACAGCTCGGTCCAACGACGCTGGTCTCACCGCTTCCGCGATGATCTTTATGATCGCTTCGCTCTCCTCCTGGATCACCCATTCCTGGCCATCCCGGCGTAGGGCGGCCGCCAGGCCGTCAAGCATCCCACCAATCCTGGATTCAGCACCCGGAATGGTCATGTCGAAATCCACCGCTGCCTTTATTCGCTTCTTCAGCGTGTCTAGGGCACGCGGGTCAACGTCATAGCCTTGGAGAAACTAGGAAACCAATTCGCCTTCCGTAACATCATCCGGGTCTTTCTGCATGTCCCACGCGGCCGCTGCTTTGTTGCAGGTTCAATACATGCACTCACAGGCATGATAAAGGGCTTCACGCCATTTGCCGTGAGAGAATTCGTCTGGCTCATGTACAGATTGTACGCGGCCATTAACACACGTTGCTCCTCCTTCGTCGATCCCTTGAACGTCGGGTTCTTGGGCAAGGCCAGACCGTTGCGAAGATACACGTCCTCTTGAACCGTATCAACGTCTTCATTCACCTGGACAGGTTGTCCGGGAGCTTCGCCAGGTTGGTATCCACACAGGAGACGTAACCCGGGACGATTCAGAATACGTCCACGCCTCATCTACCGCCACCGGCAGAAGACGGCGTGGTGGTGACCGGAACAGGCGACGAGTCGTTGTCTGGCTACACGGTGTTCCGCGATCCATATTTCGGTTGGCGACAAGGGCGCCGGTAATGGGACCAGCAGAGCGGCCCGATCGTGATCGCGCACCAGCTGAGTCCTCGTGATCAATTCCAGGGAATTCCACGTCCGCGACATAAGTGTTTCCACTGGGGAAACTCCATGCTTCTTGTCGCTAGTGTGTCCAAACGACAGCGAAAGAATTCTTTGTTATCTTTACCGGCTTGCACAACCAGCTACCGCGCTGTTGAAGGTAGACTTCGATGGCAAATCCAAAAGTGATTTCATAAGTCATTTAACCAGCTTTGTTCTGCCACATCCTTGGAGCAGGATCAGCATCAACTATCAGGACATAGATCTACTTCAGAGCCAGATCGGCGAGTCTTGTCGAACTCCAACGAGTCCGGGAAGGCTTCCTGGACTGGGATGGCTTCCGGGACGAGGAAGAGTCCGAACCTGTGACTTCATGGGCATCGGCTACACACACGCACGTGTAGTCGAGGCGAGGCTCAGCCGAGAACATGCCCATCAACCAGATTTCGTGTTTGCCGACAATAGTGAAGTATCCAAACGATGTCTACGAAGGCCATCGGAAATCCACTGTGTTTCAAGATTCGAAGTAGGTATAATAGGTCCGCTCAGTCGAACACACTCTCACAGTCCACGCGGGCGACTATGGACGATGGGGAATGTTTCATTACGGAGTGGAGCGCGTCGTCTAGACACTGGAGGTTCACTTGGATGTTGATTCGATTAATACAGCGTTGCTCATCGTCGTGAGTGATGCTACGAACGCAGAATTTAGACCAAAATACTTGTCAAAACTTACACGTCCACATTGAGAGAATGTTCGGGCGGTAATTCATTGCTTGGGACTCTGGACTTTCTTGTAGAGCAACACGAATATAATCACCAGCTGCATCGGCGTCAAGTAATATGAGGCTCTGAATGAAATTGACATCGAAACAGCAACTCTAACACCAACGACCATTTGTGTGGCACCAGTTTCAGGATGGGATCGGCAGAGCATTGGGTCCTGGCACAGAATTGGAACTAATGTGGCGAATATCGTGGTACTCGTTTGCCAACAACGAAGTTGCTGGTTCTTGATGTACTAGAGGGGGTAGTTAAGGATATTGCGACCGAGATGTGCAGGTCAGTGATTTTGGCGTTGAAGGTCGCAAACTATATTACTCAGCATGGGTCTTCGTGCAAGTTGGGGGCTGCGCCTGCGATTTCGAGGGCCAACTTATTCATGCTAATTCATGGGCAAACTCTGCTTGTCGAGCTGCTCGTTATGAAGAAGTCTCAACTGCTGACACTAGTCTATGCCGATGTTTTGAAATCCGCAGGACTTGTCCAGAAAGTGGTCCAAGCAGCCATGGACGATCGTGGAGACTCGAGGGAGACAAAGAGCATCGGAAGCGTACTCCAGACCCGAACCGAGTTTGGAGTTTGTCTGTCATATTGTGACAATGCGACAAGCCACAGATTCACAGTCAATTAGGGGAATGTGAATCGTGTGAGCAGCTTTCCAAAAGCCAGCCGCATGGAAGCAATGCTGTAATTGAGTGGTTGAGGAGTCGAATGGTTGAGGAGTTATGGGTTCGTGAAGGTCTTCCTCAAAGAAGTTAGATGACGAGATAGATTCACAAAGGACAAAGCACTCATTCAGACTGTCAGTTCAACCGTTCTAGCGATGTTTGAGGTGCAAGGACCCATCGAGTGAGAGCGCAGTAGAAATCGCCAACCGCCACGTGGAGGTAGTGAGGGAGAAAATCACGGGGCTGAGTATCAAAGAAACCCACTCGTTCGATTCACTACTCTGGCGCATACACATGGTGGATGGAGTACATTCGATGCCGCTCCAAGCGTGCATTCGATTTGAAGAATGCGGTCACGGAGGGTGGGCTATCATGTGCGATTTTCACAGCGTTCTTCAATTGCGATTTGGGGTTTATGACAGTTAGCAGCCGACCCGTGGAAAGTTTTGCACCAGAGGATAGAGTGGAGGCTCAAATAACACAACACTGTCGTGATTGTCAGACCACGTTGCCAGCGGTAGGACACTTTGCTTTGCCTTGCAAACTTCGAACTCGGAAACGTTTCTTGGATGAACGTGAAGTCGTTGGTGTAGAAAAGGAAAACTGTTGGAGAAGCCTTTTGGAGATGACATTTGAGTTCCAATCCACTGGCTCAGATGGGAGAGCTGGAGAGTGATCTTGACTTGACACATGTGTAAAGAGTGAGGTAGGTTAAGCAACTTGTTGGTGATGCGGATTGATGTAAATTGAGAGAGCCACAAGATCAATGCGTGGACCTGAAGGTCTTCCCACACGGTAACTTGTATGTAAAGTGTCTTGTCGTCGCACAAAGTATCGATTCAAGTGGAGTTTTGCATGACAGTCTAGGAGCTCGACATAAATCCGCAGTTCCAAGGATCATACGAATAGTGTATTCCGCTGAGTTGGCCACCAATTCGCGGACAAGCTCGTTCGGCTCTTGGTAGCCTTCGTGTAACGCGGCAAGTACCCCGTGTAACATAAAATGCCAATTTACGAGGAATTGCCTGGAGACGCTTCCGTGAAATTTCCATATCTCAGCTGTACGGTATCGCTTTGGATTCTGATGAGTGTCCCGCAACGGTGAGATGCTGGGGTTTCGCGTTGCAAGAGAGGTATCGATTTTCATGCTAAATAAGATATGCTGAAGTGTGAGATGTTTTTCGTGTAAATCAGATATACATCTGTGCGCCAATTTAAGAGGATCTATTCAATATATACCAAGTACTAGTATACGGCAATGCATTTTTTGTGAACATAGGGTATTAGATGTTAAAAGTAAAATATGTGGTATGTGAAAGTTTTTTACTTTGGAAATCTGCCTCACTGAAATTCCCCGCTCCCGAAATGCAATTTCCAAAGAAAGTTGTATGGCCGCCACTATCTCACTCTGCACGACGCGAAACCTCAACTCCTTGAGCTCCATCCACGACCTCTCGAACTACCGACTTGAACTCGTCCCTCGTGTGGCTGCCTCTTGGGCAAGGAGCCATGTCCAGTCGAAAGTGACATTCTTCGTATCAGAAAATATTGGGAAAGGCAAAATGCAACGCCCGCCGAAGAAGTTTGTGATATACGTCGAATATTTTCCAATCATATAGAAATACCACAACGTCATTGGTGGAATTTTTATGTTCGCGCCCGCGGGGTTTTTATGCGACTTTCATATTCAATTTCCTTTTGAAGTGACTAAAATTAGTCAAAGGCACTGTGTTAGCATAAAATACTCATCGAACGTCGAAGATATCTGGCCAACCAGAACCCAGAATTTCACATGATACTGTATCAATGACTAGGTTGGCGTTGCATTCTGCCTCTCCCAGTGCAGGTTCTGCCGCCAATTTTGCTGCAATGCACAGACAACGACGGGCTTTAAGGGACGCTTGCGACTTCGAATTTGTAATTTAATGAAAGATGATTGGCTGAAGCACTTCGAAATTCGGAAAAAAATGCTGTCAACCAAACAACAGCTACTTTGCTTTTTCCAAATTCACTCGAGTATATTAAATGAATGGTTTGATCATCTTCTAAATACAAGCGTTTGGCTACATAGCGCAGAAGTTGAACAAGTAGTTTCACAAGTGAGTCCCACGTATTAGCCCTAGGCTCTTCAATTGTTTTTCCTGAAATTTATAAAAGTAAGGACAAAACATCGCATCGACATGGCTGGTTTTTTTCGACTAGGTGGGCCGATTGTCACCGATTTCTTTTGCACACAAACAATCGTCACACCGCATTGCTACGACCGCAGCCAAGACACCACAAACACGACTCATTCTGTGAACACATGGCACCCCTTTTTCAACTGTTTTCGTAATCACGACGAGACCTCTGTGTATCTCGAGTGTTTGCTGACTTTGGGCTAACCGCATCGTTGGCTATCGAGAGTGAAAATTGCCGCTTCTGTCCAAGGTGAGGACACGACCACACCGTCCAACTTTATCGTGGCGTAGGGCGACCCATACAGTATTTGGCTGCAAGTGGGCTTCCACCGACTCCATGGCGCCGTCCAACGGCCGGTCATTGTGTACATCGAAGCCGGCTTCCACCCTCGGGAATGGGCTTATGAGTTTCCATTTCATCTTTCGTGCACTCCGTGACGAGAATCGTCATGACGCCACCAACAAAGGAAAGAGCATGCGATCTTTCAGGAACAGGAAACTCGAATTCCTAACACAGGTTGACCGTAGGCATTGCGTTACGTTTGTCCCTGTCGCGATGCCGATTCACGTGGGCGGCCCCGAGGAACCGCCTGCGGCGAAAGAACTTGCATAGGTCGTCTTAAATCGCAACTACCGTCTCATTGACCAATTCGTCGAGCGACGACTTCAGTTATATGTACTCTGGTTTGTACGCCACATGCAAGCCTGAGACGCGAGGGATACGGAATAAAGTATGCACGTGACTTTCTTGATTGGCATGGATGATGTATCTGGTAGAATGCAGTGTCCCTCGAATCAATCCAAAACGTCTGCGTGGAGCTTTGGACATCCACATGATGACGGGGGTCGTTGTAAATTTACGTCCCCTTTCTGCCTATAGCGTACCCAATCCACTGCAGGTCGTTCGTGAAACATTGCGATGAAGCTGAGTGCACAAGAACCACTACCTGCCAACGACTAGTGGACATGCTGTCG